CCGGCGGCCCGACCGGGCCCGACCCGGCCCGAGTCCATGACTATCGAGCAGATAGGGTTTCCTCCATGATCTTTTCTCTTCTCCAACAGCAACCGTACTTAAAATTACGTAACTTTCCAAGAACAAATCCAAAACTGATTCAACCAAAACTTGTGATTTTGATCAAATTTATTCCACAAAAATTCATAGATTCGAACGAACAGAATTAAGCCGAGACTTTGATACCAATTATGTGTAATCCCAGATCAACAGTCGAATAATAGATAAATAATACTTCCTCCGTTCCATAAAAGTTGCAACATTGGAATTTCTGCACTATTCACACACCTTACTTTAACTACGATTTTCAAATAATATATATAATAAAAATATTATGTATAAAATATTAATAAATTTGTATTAGTGTAAATTTCCAATATATTAACTTTTTTTAATGTTTACTAATACGTAAATAAATATAATTACAGTCAAAGTTGCGTGTTGGCAAACGTGAAAGTCAAACTGTTGCAACTTTTACGGAACGGAGGATAGTAATATGGAGAAATTGAGTAGAAGAAGAATAATTCATCAACAATCAATACCGTATATTCATAATGATATGACAATAATACATGATATAAGAATGACTTGTTGTGTCATGCCCCGGACCTATCCGGACACATCAACAACCCGCCGTATAATACGAATAGTCAACCGCAGTCTAACACATCCATATTATACAATGTTTGAATATCATTCACACATAAGTCATCCATAAACATACATAATAAGCAATTCAATACGCAGCGGAAAACATAGTTTGAAAACAACTGCCACACGGGGCAAACATGAGCACGCAGGTTCTATAGTGAAAAATATCCATGAGCATGTTTATAAATATTCAAAAACAGAACGGAGGAAGCACGAACCAAATCTTCTCTCCAAGATGATCACCCGAGCAACGAGCACAGGTAGCAAGCTCTAGCCTCAACCTGAAATGGTGGTGGGACGCCCCCTCGAGAGGGGGTCAATACTCTATGCGACTATAAAGTACTGGTGTGGATGACATCTAATAGATATACAACAAGTATTTCAAACACAAGACCCTCAAATAGGGTGATAATATAATCTAGGCCGTAACCCCAAGTTACCCCTTTTCAAAATATACTTACTTTATATATGAAGTCAAGTAGTCGACCCGTAGGGCCAAGGTTTGTTTACAAAACATCAACCCAATACCCCGTGACTACCAGTCACGACAATTCATAGGGTCCAACCCTAACACATATGTTTGCATTTCTAGAGTCCAAATCAAGTACATCACCATGCAAATCATATGACACAAGTTAATTACTCCACCGTGCATTTCTAGAGTTCAACTCAAATACATCACCATGCACACCATAGGCTACAGCCTCAAATCCCTCATACATTTCTAGAGTCCAACTCAAGTACATCACCATGCATGTCATCAATCACAACCCCTTGTCTACCCATGCACTTCTAGAGTCCAACTCAAGTACATCACCGTGCCATGGCATAGACTTAATTCCTAAGCAAACTTATGCCTAGAATTGAGATATCAATAATCTATTTTGGGACATCGTTAAGGACTGCCCATAACATGATCTTAGCATCATATTAAATCAATTTAGTCACTTGAATCACATTCAAGTACATCACTTACAATCAAATCCTTGGATTCAATTCCTTAACAATTACAAACAATCATAACTAGTATTTCAATACTATTAAGATTATTCCTATCAATCATATATTCCATTTGTAAATCACTACATATTTAGAGATATGTAGCAGCAACTTAAACATCCAATGTAATACATAAATATCCATTTATGTATCTACACAATTCACACATGAGTAAAAGTGCCTATTTTACATAATAGTTCATTAATAGCTCATTTTACTCCATTTTTATCAATATGATTCCAAATCATTTCCAATTTCATTCCTTACCAAATACATCAATATTTCATCAATAATCAGTCATCATAATCCATGAAAAACATGATTTAGACATTTAGGTAATCTCATGCTTAACCTACAAGTTGTAAGCAACTAGATGTCGATCCTCACCTTAATTGAGCTTTAAACCTTTCCTTCTTGATCCAATGGTTAACGCTTCGGTCAAGGTGTAAGCAACTACAAGTTTTATTTCTTTTTGTATTATTTGAGCTCTCCACTCAATAGGTCCGCCCCATTTATGTGTTCTAACTTATTCTCCTTGTTTTGCAGGTTCTCAAGCCATGCTGAGTGGTTCTCAAATGACCCCAATCAATTTGGGGTCCAAAATATCCACCAATACTTCCACAGATGGAAAGATGAGTCCTATTGTTTTATCTCTTGTCATGAGATGTCTTTTTATACTCATCCTAATTTATTTAGGCCAAGTCAACTCTCTACATCATATTATTGGTCTCTAATGTGTGTAGGAAAATCCCAATAATTTATATGATGTATAATTATAGAAGAAAACCCTATTCCTGTTACTTAGCTCAATAATGCCTAAGGTGGGACCATAGGAGTTTGTATTCATCTCTAACCAACACATTCACTTATTTGTGATCATTGACTTTAACCATTGAAACTTCTTTACTCCTCAATTTCTTTACCTTTCTGTCGGTGATCTTGACCGGTTGTACGGCGTAGTTCAAATCCTCGCGTACCTCCACGGGTGGCTTGTCCAACACGTGAGAAGGATCATGTACGTACTTCTTAAGCATAGATACATGGAATACATTATGTATCTTTTCTAGCTCAGGGGTCAACTGTAGACGATATGCTACGGCCCCAATTTTCTCTAGAATTCTAAATGGCCCTATTTAATGTGGATTAAGCTTCCCTCGGCCTTGGAATCGAATGATTCCTTTCCACGGAGAAACTTTCAGGAATACCTCGTCATCAACTTTAAACTCTAAGGTTCCCGTCGCTTATCGGCACAACTCTTCTGTCTATCCTGAGCCGCTTTGAGTCTCTCTCGAATCAATTTCACCTTTGACTTGGTGATCTCAACCAACTCAGTGTCCTCGAGTTTGGCCATGCCAACCTCATCCCAGCATAACGGTGTACGACACCTCCTCCCATACAATGCTTCGTATGGAGGCATGCGGATACTTGCCTGATAACTGTTGTTATAGGCAAACTCCACAAATGCTAAGTGATTGTCCCAACTTCCATGGAACTCCGATGCACAGGCCCTCATCATATCTCCTAAGATCTGTATAACCCTTTCAGACTGCCCATCCGTCTATGGATGGAAAGCAGTACTGAACTTCAACCTCGTTCCCATACACTCTTGAAATTTTGGCCAAAAACGTGACATGAATCGTGGGTCTCTATCGGATATGATGGTCACCGGAACACCATGTAACCTCCCGATCTCGTCTGTATATAATTTGGCTAACCTCTCTAGTGGGTAGGTGGTGTCGATAGGTAAAAAGTGTGCACTCTTCGTGAGCCTATCAACAACAACCCAAACTGCGTCATAGTTCCTGATCATCCGTGGTAAGCCTACCTCGAAATCCATAGTCACATGTTCCCACTTCCATTCAGGGATAGAAAGTGACTGCAATAAGCCTGTTGGATGATGATGTTCTGCCTTAACTTGCTGATAAGTAAGGCACCGACTGATGTACTCTGTTATTTCCCTCTTCATATCAGACCACCAGTAACTTTCTTTCAGATCCCTATACATCTCCATGCCTCCCGGGTGCATAGCATACGCCGATGAATGAGCCTCCTCTAGAGTGGACTTTCAGAGCTCATCATTCGATGGTACACACACTCGATCACAGAATAACAAGAGACCATCATCTCTCTCACGGAAATCCTCTACCGGCCCCGCTAGCATGCGTTCTCGGACCTTCTTGAGCTCATCATCTAGTTCCTGTCCCTTCTTGATCTCATCAAGTAAGGTAGATCTCACATCAAATCTCGCCACCAAGGCGCCATTAGTAGATACTTCTAATTGAGCTCTCAATGCTCTCAAGTTGGTTGTCAATGCCCCCGATGAACTCTTCCGACTAAGGGCATCGACCACAACATTTGCTTTCCCTGGATAGTAATCAATCACTAGGTGGTAGTCCTTTATCAACTCCATCCACCATCGTTGTCTCATGTTTAACTCTTTCTGAGTAAACACATACTTCAAGCTCTTGTGCACCATACTTCCTTTTCACTTTGATCGATGTTAATTTTTTCCCATTGAGTTTTGTTCATTGGCAACATTTTCGCAAGTTAATTTGGGAAAATTCCCTACGCTCAACACACAGGGGGGAGAATTAAAAGAATTATATTCCTCTATTGTGTGCCTACGCTAAGGTAATTGATGTGACAAGTATTGAAATGCACATATTTTACTAACACCCTTGATCAATGTAAATATTAAGGGTAGATGTAGACTTGAGGAGTAGTACCCCGACTAGATTACGTTACACTCTTTTCCTTTACACAAGTCTTATTTTTTCCCACTGGGTTTTGTTACTTGGTAAGGTTTTTAATGAGGTAACGATACATATAAACTTTAATGATCAAAGCAAAGATCAAATAAAGATAGACTTAATGAAAGAAGCATATCTTGATGTTATACCCCTTTTTCTCCAGTCAAGGTTATTTTTTCCCACATGGTTTTTGTTACTTGACAGAGTTTGACGAGACAATAAGACTGATACCAAATTCTATCTAGAACTCAACACAAGGGGGAGTGTTGAAGGAAATTATGTGTAGTGTGATGTCGTGTATATAGAATATGCATTAGGAACATTCTATGTAAACTATGTATTATATGGGCCCATTGGCCCGTCTCTGTAAACCCTAATACCTCCCTATTTATGGGGCCTTTGATAATGAAACTATACTGATGAAACAGTTAGTAACACAAGAGGGGGGTGAATTGTGTTTCTGTGGAACTGTGACAGTTTCTCGCACAGTTCTAATGTGGGTGTAGGGAAATGCAAAATAGTAAGTACACAAGAATTTAACGAGGAAAAATCCTTTGGCTCACAGGGATTAAAAAACCTCGACCTCCCTCGGAGGAATTTGAACAACTTCACTAAATAGCCAATATGTGGTTACAAGGTAAATTCTCCTGATCTACCCTTGAGCCACCCCAACTCTATCCTCTCTAGGAAGAGTTATGTTTCTCTACCTTGTGGGTAGAGAGCCTCTCATCTTTACAGCAAAGCTCTCACACACACGATCCCAAACCGAGGAAGCTACACTTAGCTTTTCCTCGAAAACCAAGTTACAAGATAAAGAAGGGAAAAGAAACTCTATCCAGAACTTCGTGCGTAGGTTCAGGTGCCTTGGACTTGATATCTCTTCGTAAGTCTTTCTCCTTTTTGATCACTCTATCAAGCACCCACTTCTTCCTCTTGATTCTCGAATATATAAGCCACTTTGATTTGTGCGTTGGTGTCTCTTTCCTTGAGTAATTGAGCTTCCATACTTGGAACTTGCCTTGATATGATTTGAATTACTTTCCTTCTAGTAGCTCTCTCATATTCGTTCTCAAATATGAGTAAATTGACTCATGATTCACGAATCATCATATAAGGAAATAATATTGATTTACTTAACATGTGTAGCAATAAAATATTTATGCAATCATTTTCAAGTCAAGCTACTTTAATATCTCATTAGAAAAGCTACAGTCAACTTTTATTAAAATGACAATCAAATTAAGATGACAAGATAGCATAATATTATATAGAAGGAAGTAGTATATTGGCTTGTCAAATATAAGCATGCAACGATCCAAATATTACTAGCAAGTCAAGATTCTTTAAATAGTCGATTTAATATCTTACATCAAAGATAACTTTTCAAACCATAAAGGAAAAGAATATTTGACAATAATTATAAGCATGCTACGGTTAACTAAAACATGAGTAATGCAATCCTTGATTTAGCAAGCCAAAGATACTTTCTATAAAGTAAAAGGCATAATTACTTTCTATAAAGTTAAAGGAACAATTACTAAAGTGGGTGTCAATGATTTATGAAAAGATATTTAAATTGTGCCACTTTCATGCATATCAATCTAGGTACGTAAGTAAATAAGGAATTAGGATGTTTTTACTTGGACTGTAATTCCTCCCAGACCAGACCAGACCAGACAAGACCAGACCAGACTTGGATAGTTATAAAAATACAAAGAAACCAGACCAGACCAGACCAGACCAGCAAATTACAGTCCAAGTAAAAACATCCTTATTATGCAATCACATATTAATCCATTTAATCATTATGCACGTTAATTATTCACTAAGAACAGAACTAAGTATAGGTCTGATTTCCGTTCCTGATAGAACTCCGCTGGTCTATCGGCTGGTCTATCTGCATGGTTAGTCATTAATAAAACATATACGTCTGTTTTGGACTGTAGGATAGTTCTGCGTTCAGTTCTACGGCTTGTTCCAGAGCATGACTTAACTTCCTTTCATGCAATCACTTATAGACCAGAAGTAACACTAGTTATTTGTCATCAACAAAACATTATGTTCCAACATATATGCACAATTCTCCCTACAACATAGAGTATATTTTGGGATCCTGAAGTTGATGGAAGATTTTCTTTCAAATCAATATATGAGGCAGTAAGAGAAGAACTAGCTACCATCTTTTCTTTTAGTCATGCTTGGCAGTCCAAGTTACCTCTTACAATTAAGTTATTTTAGTGGAAATTACTAAAGGGCATTCAGCATTCTACCTATTGCAGAGAATTTAAACAAATTCCAAACTGTGTTAAACCCATCCATTCGTCCTATATGTAGAGCACATGCAAATTCTGTGGACCACATCTTTCTTAATTGTGTGAAGGTTAAACCAGTATGGGTTTAGTTTACTTTATGAGAACTTTTGGAGTTCCCTTTCTATTTCATCATGTTTCAATAAGATATATCCTCATTACATGGTGGCTTGAAGCAGACAACTTGATTACTCAGATTAAATCTTACACTCAATCATGGGTTACGGTTTATCCTACGGGTAAAATACTCAAAGTGGGTGAAATGCTTTACGAGGAAAAGCTCATACCAAATTATTTTAGATTAGCCAGGTCCTATGTTTTTGCTATCAGATGGAAGAAACCGACAAACCATACAAATTGAATACTGATGCAAGTTTCTTACCTCAATCTGAGATTGGGGGAGCGATTGTACGGGAACTCAGAGGGCCAGATGATTATGGCTAAATCGTTCCCGATTTGATGCTTTTTCTCCTCTGGAAGCCGATCTTAAAGCGGTGATTCGAGCTACAACCTGGGTTCTCAGTGAAGGATTTTCTAATTTCGAGGTAGAGATGGATTCGACAGATGCATTGAAATATACTCCCTCCGTTCCTAAATAAACTTTCAACTTTTCTTTTTCGTTCGTTCCAATTAAAACTTCCATTTTCCCTTTTTGATAAAGAATTTGTGGTTCACAACATTTCTTACACATTTCTCTCTCCTCTGCACAACTCTCCATCACACAATATCCACTATCTTAAACTTTGTGTCAAACCCATTTGGAAGTTAAAATGGGAACGGAGGTAGTATCAAGGATGGCGGCTCAGGTAGATGGTGTAGTGAGGTTAAGAAGATGTTGTTTGGGAATTACAAAAAATAGGAGTAAATGAGGTTTTAAATTCCAAAATAGGACTAATATGTTTTTCTTCCCGAAATAAGAGCCGTTACTTCCATGTATAAAAAATACTGTAATAATTAAAAATATTGACATTAATTATAAATAATAATGTCATGTTAAATGCATGTACTGTAACTATTTGACAGTCACGCCTACAAGATGACAGTAAACACTGTCATGTTACCCTTATTTCGGGAATAAAAACATAGTAGTCCTATTTTGGAATTCCAAACTCCATTTACTCCTGTTTTGGGAAATCTCCCATGTTTTTTTTGTCTGAAGGAAGAGGAGTTTCATTTCGAATACATGCCGTGAAACGAATTAGGTTGCCCACTTCCTGGCAAACCAGCAGACGGGTCATCAGATTGATTATTCTCAGGCTCAGTATCTTCCGGCTCAAGCTAAGAATGCCTATTTGATGGACTTATTCGGGTTGTCTTCTCTTATATTTTCTCATTAATTGTATTTTTAATTGGGTCAGACCTAGTCCCCCAATTGTTTTAATTGTGTTTTTTAGGAGGTATGCTTCCTTTGTGAGGTTTTGGTATACCCTCCTCTCTTTCTGTTCCGTGCTATTTTAATAAAGTTCTGGTAAATGTTTCTCTACATTTACCCACTGATTTTGGTGGTTTGCCTACCGGGTTAAAAAAACAATATCCCTTTCGGGAGGCTATCACATAGTCAAAGTGATCTTTACATTCGATCTTTTTAAGAAGTTGTTTATTTTCTTCTATTAAATCATGTTTGGATTAAGATATATGTCGGGATTAAGACGTTTGTCTGGATTAAATGGTATTTGTATATGAAGTTATTTACTTTTTGTGTTTAATAGACCGTCTGAATTGAGTAAAATAATCAGTTTAGTATTTTTCTTAAGTTGTAAAGCCAATAAGACATTTCATCTTTAACATAAATTTATTTCATAATTGATTTAAAAATATTAATAGAAAAAACGTTTTAATGGGAAGGAGATAAGGAGTATTATACGAGTATGAGTTTTATTTAAATCGCCCTTTCATATAAATGTCATAAGTAAAATTAGACGAAGATAAATTTATGTTAAAGATGAGTTCTAGCCGGACAGTTAGTTGGGAGAATATAAGTTAGCTGAGGTGTTATGCATTTATAAGTTGTATATGGAACCCGAGACTTGCTTGTGACGCCCCTGTCTACCTGAGCTAAGTCCACCCGGCTGGAGTTTTTCTTTATTAATTTGCCCAAAATTAGAGCCTTTGCGTGCATTGGGAAGGAGGGAAAGCTAATTAGGAATCATCGGCTCATAGCTGATAAAACTCTTAAAACCTGCTTCCTCTTCTCATCTTCCACTTACCCCGATCGTCAGCAAGACCAACGCCGTGCTCCTAGCCACCGTGACCGTCTCTTCCTGACTAGCTATCGTCTTAGGATATTCATTTGATTCTAGATCTGTACATTATTAGAGGAAGAAATCATGGCATATGTAGATCACGCGTTTTCCATATCCGATGAAGATATCATGATTGACCCCCCCTACACCCTCAACAACCGACCTCCGGTGAAGGAGATCTCTCTAGCCGTTTCTCTCCTCGTCTTCGGCGTCCTCGCAATCATCCTCGGTACTTTCATGGCCGTCAACAAGATAGGCGGTGACCGAGCACACGGTACTCCTCTTTGCCCTGATTTCCCTAGTTTACCCTTCCATGCTTTTCATGTTTTCTTCATCCTGCCTATTATTTTCTCATAAATTCTTTTTCTTCGTCTATCTTTGGGTTTTTCTCTCCACTGTAATCTCTATCAAATGTGATTTTCTTTTGAAAAGAGGGGCATGTATGTAGTGATAACGAGCCATGGTTCCGTCTGCCAAGGAATTTAGTCAATTTACCGTGCACGCAGGATGTAAATAAATCAAAACTCGGACTATGAGTTGAGTTCTACTACATATTTTCGTATTCCCTATGCTGTATGCCTTTAAACTTCTTTATACTTGCAATTGTTTATAAATTACAAGATACATAATTGAAACATAAATTAACACCACCCCTGTTTGTTCTTGTTGGGAAGATATAGAACCGTTTGATAACACCTAAATTAAGAAAAAAAATACATTAAGAAAACAAATACGAAAAGTGGTTAAAATGGTCTTCTATTGTAACTTTAACCAATTCAGCTGAAAAAGTTATTTCAACCTTACTTATTTTGTTTATTACACAATTAGCGTGTGAAATCAAAAGTTATGTGTTCGATAAAAAATAATTGATAATTGATAAGACTAATAAATCCGATAAGCTGAAAACAGGGTTACCAAATACTACCTCCGTCCCTTAAAACTTTGACAAGTTTGACCGACACGAGGATTAATAAAGTAAAAACTGTGTGGTTGAAGTTTGTGCGGAGGAGAGAGAATTAGCTAGAACCACAAATTTTTTACTTAAAAAGGAAAGTGGCAAAGTTAGTGGGACATCCAAAAAAGGAAAGTTGGCAAAGTTTTAAGGGACGGAGGGAGTAGGTTTTTCCATCCTCTTAAAAAGGACTTATTTTCCTCCCAATGTGAACTATAGTATTCCACTAATCCCTAATACTGTTGCTTTTTGTTTTTTAATCTTTATGATGAATTTTGTCTCAAGTTTTGGTTTTGAAGTAGAAGAATACAAGGGTAACATGGTCCAATCTCTATCTGATCACAATCTCATAATACTCTTGTAAAGACTCAAGTTGATAATATGACTTTGTATGGTCCAATCTCTATCTGATTACAATCTCATAATACTCTTGTAAAGACTCAAGTTGATAATATGACTGTATTATACAACTGAGTTTACAAGAGATATTTTACAAGTATACAAGTAGTTGGCTTCACTCTAGATATGTGAGACAACTTCACTCTACCTCACTCAAGGAAGCCTTCTTGGTTTTTCTTCTTTGTCTCTCAAGGAAGCTTTTCAATACACTCATCATGAACATCTTAACTCATCAAGAACATCCTTGAGCTCTCTTCTCTCACAAGAAGACTCTCACTCTTTTTTTTCAAGGAGGCTCTCACTCCTGGGAAGCTCATACTCTCACTCACTTGAGAGCTCTCCTCAAAGTTAACACACGAATGAAGAGTCGCACTCAAATTTACACTTAACTCTAAAGCAACAAGCTAGTCTTCTCTAGAACTTTCTAGAACTTTTTATTCGCCTACATTTCTATAGTCTTCCCAGAAATCCCAGCCTTACCACAATAACTACTAAGAACAATGTTCTAGAGGCTTTGACACACTTACAACGATTATGGAGAGTTACACATTTTTATAGAAAGCTCCAAATTGTTTTAGAATGTTTTACATTTTTCCACACGCTCTTAGATAATTCCTCACATCCTCTATAAAACTGTAAAATATTTTCCAACATTCAATTCTTGTGTGCATATTTAAAGAGAATGTTCGACATCTATATAATATTCTAGATTTTTCTTGAATTGCTCAATTATGGAGGCTCTGGCCAAAGTAAATTGGTACTACGTATAATTATCATCCTATCACTAGTTTTTGTTCTAGTATGTTAGAATAGGAAAGCAGGATATAAAGTAAGATAAGCATTGAAAGAAAAGGTCTCACGCTCTAGCACAGAATCTCGAGCTATGGCTTCAACATCTGCAGAAAGAACTTGCTTTTCTACTACCTTGAGAACCCCAACCACTAAGGCCAAACTTACCCAAAGTTGGAAGTTGTGATGAACACATATAATTGACCTTCAATGTTTTTATATTGGGGGGTCAGTGTTTTTCTATTAAGTCCATTAACATTTCTCTAGTTAAATAGCCACCAATGCCTATTGACTAAACAAACAAACAAATAATAAGCAATACTGTGAACTCGATTTTCGATTAGGTAATTGCATTTGCTGCAACTATCTTGAGGCAAGCTGTAAGGTGAATAGTGGTTTGAACAGTTCCCGCATCACAAAAAGGATTTAGAAAAGCTTTCATGTATGGCATTCTTTCATCTGCATACCATTCTTCTAGCCAGAGATGGACTCACGTAAGGTTCAGAGGTGTCCCTCCAAAATTGTTTCTGAGAAAGTACAATGAAACTGTACGATTTTTCATTTTCAAATTATAAGTACTTCACGAATGATATTTCAATATATAATTGTGTTTTTTTACAATTTTTAAGCTGATGTAAATTATACTTTTGAGTTAATAACCTAAATAGGACTAAAAAAAGAAAAAAAAAACTAAATAGGACTAAAACATTGAACACGTGCACAAATAGGATTTTCATGTTTCATAGGACTAAAAATTTATTGGCTTGAAATATAAAATACAGAAAAAAATCATTTTTTAAATGAAATTAAAACTAACGAAAAAAATCTAAGCTAACTTGCAAAAATCGGAAAAATTGAAAAAATGAGCATAATATTGATAACATTTTTATTAGACTTGGCAGTTTGTCGAAAAACAAGAGTTCTTTCTGTCATAATATAATCATCAAATCTTCCATAAAGATGACAATATTTTTTAATTGATGGCAGGAAAAAAGTCTGTCAAAATGCAATTGTAAATATTGCACAAAATGCCAAAAAAATGGCAAAACATGAAGGCAATACCCAAAATCAAGAAAATTAGAATTATAATTGAAATCGGAAATTTGATAGAACCACAATACGGACCACGAAACCAGTGCCCAAAAATAAGGAAATTTGATTCCAAAACTCAAAAATTTAATGAAATTAGAAAATGTCTTCTGAAAATTACAAAATCAATGAAAAAACTGAATTTTCAGATGGAAAACGGAGGAGGAGGCTTGGAAATCACAAAATCGACAGTGATGTTGGAAGAAGATGCGGGGTAGAGAGGTGGTAAATAGAGATGGTGATGGCGACAGAGAACGTGTGGCGGCGCCAAACTGCAGTCAGCAACTTGATGGTGAGGTGCAGAGAAGAGTAGTGAAGAAGGAGAACCGCTCAGATTGATCGATAGAAGCCTGGGTTTTTTATTTTATTATATAAAAGGGTATAATGGTAATTTGGAGTCCTATTTAAAGAATTATAAATGTTTAGTCCTATTTGTGCATTTAAGTTAAATTTTAATTCTATTTAGGACAATTACTATATACTTTTATAGTTCTATTGTATGGGTAGTGATCTTCGCATGCACAAATCTTGGGTCCTGAATCTTGCGTCGATGACTTGTTGTGGTAAGTAAGTTGAAAATAGCTGAAAATTATTTAGATAAGAGAAAAAAGAAGAGAATGAGAATAAATAAAAGCATTATTATTTCTTGGGTTTTTTATTCCGGCCACTCAAAGAAGAAAGCATGCAATGTGCATTATTTCTTGTGAACTAATGTGTCTTTATTATATTTGAGATGTTTATAGGGCTATTTTTCGCAATACTGGGAGGGATTCTGTTCCTGCCCGGGTTCTACTATACTCGGATCGCGTATTATGCATACAAGGGGTACAGTGGTTTCTCATTCTCCAACATACCTCCCGTGTAGTCATCTCATTCTCGTCATACATATATATATACATGTGACATCCTTGTGTTTTCTAATGCTATGTAGCCGTTTACGTCAAAATCCTGTAAATAATAAAGTGAATCCATCCGACAGTGCTGATGTAGCAAACTACTGATTGTTTTGTTCTTGAATATCATAATCATATTAGTGAAAATATTTTATTTCTAATTTGAATACGCACCAATATTAAATCTGTATGCCTTAGCCTTTGGGTATACGAGATTTTGACAAGAATTGCTCATAATGGTAGCGCAACAGAAGTAAAGGATAGAAGATAACTCAATTAATATTAACAAGGATAAATGAGACAAAGATAGAGTTGGAAGAACGCTTAGTAGCTAACTCGCTAATCTCATAATGTGATACTCTACCAATAGCACAGTTGTCTTGCTACTAGAAATAGAGATGAAAGTAATTTATGTCATTAGGTAAAGGAAAATAATTAGATAAATAGCCCCAGTTTTTTCAGCCATTGGCAGGGGCGGACGCACGTAGGAGGTTAAGGGGCCATGCCCCCCCCCCCCCCCCCCTAGTTTTTTAAGTATTACTATTAGAATTTATTTGCCACCCCCCCCCCCCCCCCCCCATAGTTTTTTAAGTATTACTATTAGAAACTATTTGCTCCCCCCACCCCCCAAATGAAAAGAATTTTAAAGGCAATCAAACAAGCCTTATGTCTCTTTTGTTATGATATTTTTAGATTTTATATTTGGAAGATTTGCAATTGTAGTCCTGTAATTTCTTGTTATCCCCGTTATTAGTCTCGCAACTTTACTCGCATGCAGGTTAGGTCCTCTATCTAATAGGTCTTTGCAGTTTAAAGATGTTTTTACATGGATTGAAATTTTCTGGTCCGAACTGGTAAATGTCTGGTCTCTGTGTATTTTTTAACTATCCAAGTTTGGTCTGGAATTGAAAACAGTCCAAGTAAAAACATTATAAGTAATTTTTCACTTGTACATACACTTTCTTGCAAAAAATCGACATCGGCGCATATTTTCCGATGAATTGACTGTCAGAAAGTGTACTTTCCAGTGGGGAAGTACTTAAATTGCAAAACATTATTAGTTACATGACCAAATTTGCAAACAAATGAAGTTACATGACTTAAAGCGGTCACATAGTAAATTTGTGGGATCAAAATTGCAAATTTCCCTTTACATTTTAATACTTGTATCATATTCCGGTCTCCTTTTACTAAAGTCTGGCTCCGATGTCCCTAGCCATTGGGAATAAAATCGCGGTTCAACTAGCCCCCGCCAAAGGTAGTGAGAGGAGCTCTATTCCCCCACCCATCTCCTTTATTGCAAAGATCTGCATGCCAGACAACATCGCCTCTCGTCAGTTTTTTTTGCTCTTCGCCACTAGCCACATCAGTCACTTTGCGCCTCCTCGGTTCTTTTTCCTAAATATCAACCACTTCCTTGCCCTTTGAGATTAAACCTTCCGTTGTGTAGCTACTCGTCCCGCTGTAATAGTCTTGATCAGGTTTCTAGGTTTCTCAAGTTGTCAGAAACTCCAAGCTTACCGCTCTAACTGCTTCTACTAGGGATCAATCACTTGTTTCCCGAGTGCACATTGCCTCTTCTCCTATTTGCATGTAGCCGGGCCCCGTATGGATTCTTTCCTATCCAAGGTCCCGTGTGGGTATTATATGGACAAAATCGATCTACATATCCCAGAATCCCACATAGGAAAAAAGAATCAGGATCCTCTCGTATCAAAAATCCGCCAATCTCTGGGTGTCTTCTTCCTGATGAACCTTCAATCTCTTAGTCAAAGCATTATTTAGATTAATCGTTACTCTTATATGTTGTTTAAGCTATTTTTTGTAAGCTAAACTACGTCAATACGATATGAATGCTCGAAAACGACAAATCAGTTGGGTAACGTGCAAGGATCAAAGAAATAGTGAATAATTAAATTATAATATATTTGATAAGTTTAGATGTATTTCAGAGAGTTTTTCGATGATACATGTGTGTTCTAGAGTGTGTGTGAGTGATGATAAACTCAGAACTTAACAATCAAACAACCATAACAAGGAGAATAAGCAGATAGAAAGATATCGAGAAGATTAAAACCGAATCTGGTATACCGTATGAACTGGCCGCTGCTCTCCCTGGAGAATGAGAGCAAGGGCAACCCTAATCTCTCTATCTCTACCCCTCTATCGATTGTTAGGGTTCCCGTAAGTTAGCCTCCTTTTATAGGAGAAGTTGGCTAACTTACGGGTTACAAGGAAGCCCCCCGGCTGATACACATTTGTGGCCCGTATTACACGTTTAATTGATAACTGCACAAATACAAAGATAACTAACTAGATTGAACACCATAAAATATTCCCAACAATCTCCCCCTTGGTGATCAATCGTGTTAAATCAGCATTGCAGCGCAGATATCTTTGTCTTTGTTGTTATTCAGCTTCCTTTTCATTTGAACTTGACTTCTTGAGAAGGCTTCATGAAGAAATCCTCGCATTCTCCCCTTTGATGTTTTCTTAGCAAATTGGTCTTTGATGATGGGGGTTGAGGAATCTTTTTCTTGAAAAACTTTGCCTTCCAGAAGTAGCTCTTGATAAGCTTGGATGAAGTCCGATAGCGCCTCTAGAATGATAGTTCTGATGAGTTTCAGACGCCCATGAAATTCATCTTCAGAGTTTGATTATCTGACCTTTATCTTCTCCACAATGTAGTCTTTTTGACTATTTGAAATGAATGCTTTTGAGGAGAACTTGTCGGTGGCACAGCGGAACATAATGATGGTTGAATTGTGAGCGTAGCTGATCATTTGAGTTGCGAAGATAGTAGAGAAGGTGTTGATTTTTGTGATGGAGGAGTGAAGTGTCCCAGAATGATTTGTTCCGTGTTAAACCCAACTAAGCAATCCCTGGAGAAGGAGAATAAGCAGATAGAAAGATATCGAGAAGATTAAAACCGAATCTGGTATACCGTATGAACTGGTTGCTGCTCTCCCTGGAGAAGGAGAGCAGTGGCAACCCTAATCTCTCTATCTCTACGCCTCTATCGATTGTTTCGATTCTTAGGGTTCCCGTAAGTTAGCCTCCTTTTATAGGAGAAGTTGGCTAACTTACGGGTTACAAGGAAGCCCCCGGGCTGATACACATTTGTGGCCCGTATTACACGTTTAATTGATAACTACACAAATACAAAGATAACTAACTAGATTGAGCACCATAAAATATTCCCAACAATCTCCCCCTTGGTGATCAATCGTGTTAAATCAGCATTGCAGCACAAATATCTTTGTCTTTGTTGTTATTCAGCTTCCTTTTCATTTGAACTTGAGTTCTTGAGAAGCTTCATGAAGAAATCCTCGCAATCTCCCCTTTGATGTTTTCTTAGCAAATTGATCTTTGATGAGTAGCTCTTGATAAGCTTGGATGAAGTCCGGTGGCGCCTCTAGAATGATAGTTCTGATGAGTTTCAGACGCCCATGGAATTCATCTTCAGAGTTTGATTATCTGACCTTTGATTTTTGTGATGGAGGAGTGAAGTGTCCCAGAATGATTTGTTCCGTGTTAACAGCATGTGGACCACTCTCCCCCTCATGACGATCCGATGAATCAGAACGTCATGCTTTTATTCTTTTATTCTGCGGAAATAAAACAGGAAACAAACAGAAACAGTAAATGATAAAAGCCCCCCGGGGTCGTGTAGACACCTGTTTTCATCACTATAGAGATAAACTCTAAAGCAATGGCCTGAAAATGTTGGTGATTCTTATGTTGCAACAGCAGGACTTCTTTCCAATCATTAGTCTACATCTGCAATAGATGAGACCTATGGAAGTTCTCGCGGGTCTTTGAAGGCCTGCAACTGACTCAAAAAGTGCGTCGGTGTCCTAGAAAATTCAAAACATTTGGGAGTGAGGTAACTAGACACGACGTGATCAATGAAAGTTCAGTGGCATGGGGCTGAGGCCACTGTAATCAGTATTACTTGCCTCGTAAGGAGGTAAAAATGAGAGATGCGGTTCCCCGTGAAGTATGATTAAACACCTGTCTGTTGCGAGACAAGTGAGTGGTCTTGGGTAGGGTTCAACGTGCACTGTTGGACAAGATGCAGTGACTTCTACCCGGGATCTGATTAAATCAGTCCTGAACCTATTTGGGAATTGTCCAGAGTATTTGAGTGGCTAGGAGTAAATGTTCAATGGATAATAGCCAGTTGAGGTAGCAGACTCATCATTGATTGTTGTTTTTCTTCTCACTTGAGCCTTCTGCTTCCTAACTCTCATAATGATTACTCTCACTCACTAACTCACTCACTTCCTCTCGGCTTTGTCCCTTGGGTAGGCTTTAGTTGGGTTTACTAAGCCATAAGAACATGTTCTCACATTGATTTTCTCTCTGTACTCCCCCTCAACTGGAGCACTCGGTATGCTTTGTCATTGTTAGGCACTGGGGAGGATAACATTGAACACTCCCCCTAGAATGTTGCATCCGTTGAGAGATTCCTTGCTTTGTCAGTGTAAGGCGCCAGAAGGAGAAAATTGAAACTCCCCCTCAAAATGTGCAAGGTTTGATTGCTTACAGCTCATCATACCCGCCATGTGTGTGGAGCAATCTGAACAAGTACCACACATGACGGTTTCCCTGAGCTCATCATGTAGAATTTCAGCATATTGATGATCACATAATGTTGATGAGTCAGAGGAGGCTTCAATGGTTGATTGTTGATTGTTATAAGATGACCGTTGACGCGAGGTTGATTGAATTATCTGCGATTTTCGGACCTTTACGGTGCAGATTAGACCTTAGGTTTGATTTTGAAAGAATTTGAACAGATTTGCCTAAGTTTTGACCTAGACATCGGTGATTTACAATGTTTGTCGGAAAACTAACATTTTGACCCTCAAAGACTGCGAGTGAGGGCGCGTGAGAAAGGCTTCTGGGGCAAAGCCCTAGAATTAATGTAGATCTTTTCGTTAGCTTTCTAACAAAAAAAGTTTGCTCAAATCGGATCACCGAGTCAAAAGTTATGGCCAAAACAGTGTGGTGTCGCAGAAAATCTCTAATTTTGAGTTTTTGAGGAAATTCTTCGAGATTGAAGTTCTCGATGTTGAATTTCGAGAGCAGATGAAATTAAACAAAATTCTAAGGCAAAAACTCGAAATACTAATCTCGAGATTTTAATTTCGAGTTTGCCTTGAAGAGTAATGGCGAAATCCACCTGCAAAACAGACCTCAGAATAACGAAATCTTCAGAATTTCAAAATGTTTGGAACATCGAAAACTTTGGAGTTTCGAAAATCTCATAATATCGAAAACTTGCTGTTTGAAAAATATCAGAACATCGAAAAACTTTTATAAGCAGGGAATCATTCAGAAATCCTATAATGTAAAGCTTCGATGAACTGCAAAGGATGTCAAGATTCGAATTATGAGTTCCAAGAAACTGCAAACTTTGAAAGATTCAAGATAACCTAGAAATTCCAAAAATTCTAAATTTTTTCAGAATGTCGAAATCCTAAACATCGAGTTCCTAAAACTCAAAATTCCAAAACTCTAAATTCCAAAACTCTCAATTTTAAAACTCGAGTTTTAAAACTCTCGAGTTTAAAACTCTCGAGTTTAAACCTCTCGAGTTTAAAACTCTCGAGTTTTAAACTCTCGAGTTTTAAAAACTCTCGAGTTTTAAAAACTCTCGAGTTTAAAACTCTCGAGTTTAAAAAACTCTCGAGTTTTAAAAACTCTCGAGTTTTCAAACTCTCGAGTTTAAAACTCTCGATTTTAAAACTGTCGAGTTTAGGAATTCGAGACCCAAAATTTCGAGATCCTGCAAAATGAAAACTTCGATTTTTGAAAATCTGAAACCTGTTCTGAAAAGCCCTGAAGGTCGAGATTCTCCTGTATCAGTTTCAAGTCAAAAACGTTTCTGCAGCAGTGAAAAATAAGGATTTCGAGATCTCGATGTAGAGATCTTCGAAATATAAAAAATGCAGAAAACGAAAAATAAGGTATGTTGCAGGATCGGTTTTGAAAGGCGAGTCCAACAGTATGATTTTTACAAAATTTTGTTCACAAACAAGATTATAGGAGCAAATCTCTACACCAAAGAAAAACAGAAGAAAAGCAGAGCAGTTCTTCCTTAGATCCAAAAATCGCAGATAGATTCAACCTGTTTCACGCCTCGGCTCTGATACCAATTGATAAACTCAGAACTTAACAATCAAACAACCATAACAAGGAGAATAAGCAGATAGAAAGATATGGAGAAGATTAAAACTGAATCTGGTATACCGTATGAACTGGCCGCTGCTCTCCCTGGAGAAGGAGAGCAGCGGCAACCCTAATCTCTCTATCTCTACGCCTCTATCGTCTGTTAGGGTTCCCGTAAGTTAGCCTCCTTTTATAGGAGAAGTTGGCTAACTTACGGGTTACAAGGAAGCCCCCGGGCTGATATACATTTGTGGCCTGTATTACACGTTTAATTGATAACTGCAGAAATACAAAGATAACTAACTAGATTGAACACCATAAAATATTCCCAACAAGTGAGAATGCTTGTGTGTTTACATTAGGTGTTAATGCTATTTAAAAGAGTAGAAGTTAATGCATCTGGACTGTTTCATCACTTCCGACTCGTCCAATGGAGAAGTGGGAGCATAACCGTTCGTTACATTGCTATCTACATAAAACAGCCTGAAATTCCTTTATCTTGCAGCATTGAATTAATATAGCCAAATGACATGTATATGTTACGTCTTGTTCGTTCTGTCATTGTCAGACGGTTTGATTCGATGACTTGATGACTCGTCATAAAGATTGGTCAACCTAATTCACATCCTCCTTTATTACATTAATGACCATACTAAAACATACAAACTGTCCTAATAGTCACATTATGTCTAATAAATGTATCATTAACTTTCATGATTAATTTCTGTAAATGCAGAATCAAACCATCAATTAATATGGACAAAAGTCCCTATGCCATTTCCAATTCCCTGAGTTGTTTTAGTGGTCATGTACCCTATAGGAAGATTGTGAACCTGTGAACCTGAACCCAGAAGTCTGCATACTCTAAGGACACCTCAAGTGGTCTATCTGTTTGCCCTCACCTCCTTAAGTCCTTATGACCACAAAGTTTTGTTCAAAGTGCAAATTTCTTCAATGGTGACTCCTCTAACCGACCTCCAAACCATTGCCATGGTTTCACGAAAAGAAATTGAACGGATAGATTTATCTGTTACTACCCTTGTCGTAGCCGAAAAAACACACACCCTCATTAACCTCTTCATCACCCCCTAATGGGTCTACTTCCAGAACCAGCCCCCTTTGCCCCCTTTGCTTCCTCTTCAAGGGTAACTTTACTATAGTTGTCAACAAGAATATCCAGAGGAAAATCAAATAAATTAACAACACCAAAAGCTTAGCATAGATCGAAAGAAAATCAGCAAAAACAATCACATGACATTGTAGACATATAAAAATTACTGGGCCAACTGTGATAGCTACCGAGCTCTTAAAAGTTACCGGGCTATATTATTTGCTAGTGGGCCACTGTCGGATTCTGTTGGGCCACTCGTGATGATTGTTGGGTTTTATAAAAATATTAATATGGACCCATTCGGATAAAATTTAATAATTGAATTAATTTGGGTCATTTAAATATCCAATTAATTTAATTATAAATTAAATCTTTAAAAGAATGGACCGGTCCTATTAATTTCTCTATTTTGAGCCCATTATTAAATAGTAACCCGATGAATAAGAGACACGATCCAATTGATAAAGATAACAATGAATATGGTTAAGAAATCCATCCGTATGCATGGAAAATGGCTGCGAACCTTGTTAAAAAGGCTGTCCAGATACATCAAACAAGTGCTGATTTTTCTGACTATTAAATGCAAGCAGATAGAGCCCAAAACCCATTTTATTTGAGGCTCATGAGGTATGGACGAAATTTTGCAACCCTAAAGCATATTTTCACCTCCTCCACACCTATAAATAGGGGTCTCAGTTGAGAGAAAAAGGAGGAGAATTTTCAGACGAAGAAACGTTGCAGAAAAGCTCTCAAGAACTCCCGTAAGGCTCTGAACGATCCCGAAGAAGAGGAATAGATCAAGTCACGATTTTTGTTAAGAATATACGAATAATCCTTCGTGATTTCGTCGATTCTTAATAAAATAAATCCAAAAGTTGAAGAACGTTCGAAGATCTGAAGAACGAAGCTTGAAGATTCGAAGATCTGAAGAACAAGACTTTGAAGATTTGAAGATATGAAGAACGAAACTTTGAAGATTTGAAGATATTCATATTAAGATTGAAGCAAGATTCAATTGAAGATCAAGCCACATATCCCGGGAGGCCCTTAAACAGAAGATCAAGCCATAAAACGGCCCTTTTGTTGAAGATCAAGCCACTTGAAAACCGGAGGCCCTTCAAGCGGAATTCTTAATTCAAGAATATTTGAAGATTCAAAGAACGAAGATTCGAAGATTCAAAGAACAAAACTTTGAAGGTTTGAAGATACGAAGAACGAAGGTTCGAAGATTTGAAGATCTGACGAACGTTCGAATATTTGAAGAATTAAAGATTTAATTTTGAATTAATTTCTTTAATTATGTCAAATTGCAAGTGAAGCATCAGAGGATTCATATTTAGAGATTGTACCCAATATTCTCACATATTATTATTTGCGATCAATTTTAAGTAAATACTTAAAATTTGTTTCACAAATTTTTGGCACGCCCAGTGGGACATCTCTACCTCTCATCTCTTCACTTTTAAAAAATGAACCCATGGCATCAAGCAAGCCTGTGTTCACTCTGAATTCTCGAGCGTCATCAAGCACGAATCAAAACATGCAAGGCCCTATCACTAGGAGCCGATCAGCAAGTTCAATCTCGCTCCACTCTCCTGAATAAGAAATCATTAAGGGTGTCGTGGTCTGGATCTCATTCTTAAAATGCGTATCAAAGTATGATGCCAACCATCCATAGACATAGTGAACGGGAAAACACGTTCTAACTTGATCAGGAGCTGGAGCATTCGAGATCCGATTAAGCCCATGATAGACACTTGCAAGAACCGGGACCGCAAGGCATACACGTTTCCCTCGAGCCAACATACAAGCAACTCTGAATGTTTCCGGGCGGATAACTCTAGGACCTTCATGCGGCAATACAAATGCACAAAGCCAACATGATAAAAATGCCGCTAAATATACCTCTTCCTCATATTCAGCAGGAACCTTGAGTATGTGGAATGGTACCTTCATAGAATTCGACCATCCTCCAAATCTTGGAATAGCTCCGCTCGGATTATGGGTCGCCTTGGCACGAGATGTTCGTTTCTTTTCTGTTCTCACTGGAGGCATAGTATACTTGGAGGCCTTTCTGAACCAGAATTTGACCCACGCATGAACACGCAAAACACGCTTATCTCCTGCTTTGGGAAAGAGATGATGATATGCGTGAAACAAATATTTGCAGAGATGAAATGAACGGTCAGCGCTCGTATTTAACCACTAAGAAGTGCCCGGAATAGATTCATCATATACGTCTCCTATGATAGGCAATCCTCCGATAACGTGCAAGTCCCAAAGTGTGATCGTCAATTCGCCAATTGACGTAAGCAAAGTATTCATCGTGGGACATCGTGCCTCACAAAATGCTTGAATAGCATTAGTACATCGGTCATACGTGAATAATGAGGCATAAACATCATCGTAAATAAGCCCTTCCTCCAGAACGCTTTTACTCATGCTCAAAATATCTTCGGCCCAGTCCCAGTAACCTGTGATGAATCTAAACTCACCACCAAATGATAAGGTCTTTGTCAAAGGGGCGTTTTCATCAAGGATACGTCTACCCAAAGAAGGAAGAATCTCAGAAGAGGACATGTGAGTAAAGCCAGATACTAAAGTCCGCATTGTCTGAGCTTGATACTCGCACTCAGGAGTCCAGTTTGTAACTCGATAGGACACAACCGTTGGACCCCAAAACTCGCGAGCAAATGGCTTATGCATCTCCAAAAGAATCTCTGCGTCATTCTTCTTACTCGTTGATATAGAGAGATACTTTTTGCCTCCATGCCTTACGTCCTTAAAAGATATCATTTTGGACTGCAAAAAAAAATCATCATTATTATTATTACTAAAAAAAACTAAAGTAATAATAATAATAATAATAAAATAAAAAAAACAGGCCGCTCAGCAATGATAATCAATCTCAAGCCCGAGCAATTGGCTTCATCTTCTGACTAGACGAGCAAAAGAAATCAGTGTTACTGGCCAATAATTAGTCAAGCTCCTTCAGAATGGACAAAGGTCGAAAGTAGCGGCAACATCTCAGTCTTCAGCAGGTACAATCAGCCTAATGCTTTAAATCGGTGCCACTAACCCAACGAAGGGCCCTAAGCAAACACCGATGACCGGCAATCGGACTAATTCTTTATATCGGTGCCACTAGCCCAACGAAGGGCCCCAAGCGACACCGATGAGCGGCAATCGGGCCAATTCTTTAGATCGGTGCCACTAACCCAACGAAGGGCCCCAAGTAGCACCGACGACCGGCAATAGACCTATTCCTTTAGATCGGTGCCACTAACCCAACGAAGGGCCCCAAGCAACACCGACGGTCGGAAATCACCCTAATTCTTTAGATCAGTATCACTAGCCCAACGAAGGGCCCCAAGCGACATCGACGATTGATAAACAGTCAATCCCCCTCCTCTTCAATAAGTGGCACAATGATTAAATCACTTGAAATAGCGGAAAACAAGGACCTCGTTTGGATCTTGGAATTGCCTGGATTCATGGGAGCTCAAATCTTAAAATAGGCCCAAAGGCCCAATTTATTAAAATAAAGAAGTTAGCCCCAATTTCCGTCATCTTCAATTCCCGTCATCTCCTTCGCAGCAGGAATCTACACCTTCCTTCGCAGGCACTGGGACCAAATCGCAGCAGGACCTCGATGAAATTGATCGATTTCTCTTCCTCGCCAGAAGTCTACACCGAACTTCGCCCACACCTCCTTCTCCGACGGCGGACATAAGCGCGAATCAGCACCATCCATACTCGAGTTTGACTAGGACTCTAATTTGACAACCATAAACGGCCTGTCCGGAGTATTTTGAATTGGAGGAGGACCAAGAGTTTCGAGATATCGTTTGCGGTTATATTTTCGTCCAAATTTATTCTTTGGATTGAATGAATTAGCAAACACATTTTTCTTTATAAACCATACGTACTATTAGTCCATTCCTTTATAGACCTGAGCATTTGGATCAATTTTGCAAAAGGATAAGCATTAAACGAGCTCCCAGATAGGTTTGTATGTTTGATCAAAATTTTGGGCCTATGAAATAAAAAAAAAAAAAAAAGGGAAAGCATATCTTATATCCATATAAGATTTGGGTCAACTTATGTTAAGACTTACTTTTCACTCTTTCAATATGTTCAAGCAAGTCTCGAGGGGGCATTTGTGGACATATAAAAATTACTGGGCCAACTATGATAGCTACCGAGCTCTTAAAAGTTACCGGGCTATATTATTTGCTAGTGGGCCACTGTCGGATTCTGTTGGGCCACTCGTGATGGTTGTTGGGTTTTATAAAAATATTAATATGGACCCATTCGGATAAAATTTAATAATTGAATTAATTTGGGTCATTTAAATATCCAATTAATTTAATTATAAATTAAATCTTTAAAAGAATGGACCAGTCCTATTAATTTCTCTATTTTGAGCCCATTATTAAATAGTAACCCGATGAATAAGAGACACGATCCAATTGATAAAGATAACAATGAATATGGTTAAGAAATTCATCCGTATGCATGGAAAATGGTTGCGAACCTTGTTAAAAAGGCTGTCCAGATACATCGAACAAGTGCTGATTTTTCTGACTATTAAATGCAAGCAGATAGAGCCCAAAACCCATTTTATTTGAGGCCCATGAGGTATGGACGAAATTCTGCAACCCTAAAGCATATTTTCACCTCCTCCACACCTATAAATAGGGGTCTCAGTTGAGAGAAAAAGGAGGAGAATTTTCAGACGAAGAAACGTTGCAGAAAAGCTCTCAAGAACTCCCGTAAGGCTATGAACGATCCCGAAGAAGAGGAATAGATCAAGCCACGATTTTTGTTAAGAATATACGAATAATCCTTCGTGATTTCGTCGATTCTTAATAAAATAAATCCAAAAGTTGAAGAACGTTTGAAGATCTGAAGAACGAAGCTTGAAGATTTGAAAAACAAGACTTTGAAGATTTGAAGATATGAAAAACGAAACTTTGAAGATTTGAAGATATTCATATTAAGATTGAAGCAAGATTCAATTGAAGATCAAGCCACATATCCCGGGAGGCCCTTAAACAGAAGATCAAGCCATAAAACGGCCCTTTTGTTGAAGATCAAGCCACTTGAAAACCGGAGGTCCTTCAAGCTGAATTCTTAATTCAAGAATATTTGAAGATTCAAAGAACGAAGATTCGAAGATTCAAAGAACAAAACTTTGAAGGTTTGAAGATACGAAGAACGAAGGTTCGAAGATTTGAAGATCTGACGAACGTTCGAATATTTGAAGAATTAAAGATTTAATTTTGAATTAATTTCTTTAATTATATTTATGTCAAATTGCAAGTGAAGCATCAGAGGATTCATATTTATAGATTGTATCCAATATTCTCACATATTATTATTTGCGATCAATTTTAAGTAATACTTAAAATTTGTTTCACAACATCAACAAATCAGAGAAGAAGGCCCGCTCTCTTCACAGAAACAACCACCACAACAAACACCATTCACAAGGAATGTAGAATACACTCAACATGATGAACCCCAGACCAAATCAGGAATTGAGAAATAGAGAACAATGCAGAAATTTGAAACGACCAAGGGATAAAATTGTTACCTAACACGAGAAGGAGACAGCAACCTGTCAACCATATGTTGCTCAATCACGCGCTCATCTATTCGCACTGCCCCCATAGTTCATCTATTCGCACCGCCCTCAAAAAATAGGTTTGACTTTTGTGAAAAAAATCTTTTGAACACCCCAATGGTTGTAGTCATCTCGAGGCGGCTAAATCTACAGAGACATCTGACAATTCGATCACTCACTTGGTGATGTACTCCTAATTTACCATATTTACGATATTGTTTTGTCACACTTTTAATGTTTTATTTTACATTTTTAAATAAAAATGATTGATTTTTATCATTTTGAACATTTTAAGGTATCACACTTGTTTTGGTATATTTTTTAGTTTCAGGATAACTCGGGACGTATATTAATCTCTGAAAAGAAATAAATATTACTCCCGAGTGAAGACGGAAAAATCATCAAAGTGAAGCAGGTCCTTACTTTAACTTCGAAATATTTATCAAGAGACCCGAAATACATTTCATAATAAACCAGACTCTCTGTAATAAAATGTACCGGTTAACTGTTGACCTGTTAACTGATCAAAAAGTTAACCGGCCCAAATAATGTAAGTGGTGGATAAGAGCCAAGACTTTGGCTAGCAAGTACTATTCACTCTTTGAGTGATTGGAGACTCCAGCCACGTAAAACTCTCAAGAAGGAAAGAAGCAAGTAATCCAAATTGATTTCATTGATTGGTGGGACCTACAAACTCCAAGCTAAGCAATTAAAATCAGGGTGGTCTTCATCACTTTCAGTCGGCAACCAGAGAGAGCAAGATAGCAAGGAAGAAAAAAATACACAGTGAACAAGAGAGATACTATTTGCATAAGGAAATTGATAGCGGCGATCAAATCGGATGGAAGATTGAAGTAAAAGCCAACCAAAAATTGATTTCAGCACCTTCATTTCAGGATTTTTATGCTTAAGCCCCTTCTCCTACTACTATATAAAGGGTCATCCAGGAGCTGCAAAAGACACCAAGTTCTGATAGAAATCATTTTTCTCTTTTCTTTAGTTTATACGAAGTATTAGTAGCCATATAATAAAAGTTATTCTGCCAAGAACACTTTCTGTATAGATTTCAGTTTATAATTCTCAGTTCCAGAATTTTAGCTTGTGATATTTGGTATTGAAGTTAATTTGGGTTTATCAGTTCGTTCAATCAGTTCCAGCTTAATACAAGGATTTCAACTTTTCTATTCCAGCCCATCTATGTTCTTCATTATTTTATGCCTTCAGGTTCTTACTTAAACACTCACTTTAATTTCCTTAATCTGTTAAATTTATTATGTCTTTCATGAATTTTGCTTTTATTTTATTTACCGTAATTATGTGTAACTAAATTAAGTTTAGGCTTGGGCAAGATGTAATTTTTACTATTAATGTTCATATGATAATAATTGGTTAAAACTCTTAATTGGTTAATTTTAGGAGTGATGGGTTGAATATTCTAATCTGCTAAATACATTATATTGGGAAATGAATATTATCACGGGAGTGAAATTTCATTAAAATACTTTTTATTAATTCACCCACTAAACTGCTACACGGAAGTGTTAAGGAATTTATGATAATTTGATTTTGTACTTTTTACTATCTTAATAAAATTACCACGGGAGCGGAATTAATTTAAGATAGTGTAATCAACTAAGTCGTGGGAACGATTAGAAGATTACCATTTGTAAATCATTCACACACCTAAAAGTAACTAAGTTAATTAGTTAAATCTTTATTATTATGAACATCAAAATAAAATTACTCTTAGCCCAAGCCTAATTTTCTCTATATCATTAATTGTTAAATTACCAAGTATTGTGATTTATTTTACTCTCTAGCAATTTCGCATTGATAAAAACAAGATAACAAAAAAAATTTGTTCACTTAGCTCCATTGCAAAATGATTAATTTGTGATTAGCTAAAAATCAATCATTAATTCTAGTTCTCTTTGTGAGCCATTCTCTAGCGGAACGATACTCACTTACTTTATACTATATCGTTACGAGCCAATTAAAACATCATTTTCATCCACATTTTTACAACATTTCACACTACACATTTTCGCCGGAGCTATCGCCGGAGTACGTTGAAGTTCGCCGGAGTTTCGCCGGAGCTAAATCGGGAAGGCTAGAACTTCATAAGCTTCATTGAGGTGAGAAGACGGATTTATGCTTTATAACTTTTGCGTGAGGCATGAGATTACCTAAAGCAATCAAAAACATGTTTTATGGAATGATTAAGAATAATCAAGTGTTTGCTTATGCCATGATTTTGCATAAAACATAGTAGAAAAGCATGTTATGTAGGTTTGGTGATTAAAAACGTGATAACTTATTATGTGTGGTGTTCCAGGGATCCAAAATGGTATTTTTGGATCAAGGACGTCAAGAAGTATAAGTGTATAAAATTTCACGATAATCGGACTTCGTTTGGGCGGTCAAACGAGCGTTGACCGCGAAGACGAAGGTCAGACCCGACCGGGTATGGGTAAATACCCGACCGGGTTTTGATTAAAATTAGAGCCACTGCCACACTAGACCCGACCGGGTATGGGTATAGACCCGACCGGGTCTCAAGTAAAGTTGGCTCCAGGGGCTACTGCCTCACCCTACCCGACCGGGTAAGGTTGGATACCCGACCGGGTATTGGTTTATACTCAAAACGGGTAGTTTTGAGTAGGTTAACGTGGGTCGTTCGGGTGGGACCCGCTTACGTTGGATCCTAAGGATTGTTATATGACTATAGGGCTAGGCATTGTCCATAGTTAAAGGAATGAAAGGTTAGCCATATCCAGGTTAGGATTTGGTAGAGAATAGACTGGGGATTGAGTGCCCTTGGACGATAAATGATCCAGAATACTCCAGGTGGGGTCGAGTACCCTTGGACGGTAAATGATCCAGAATACTCCAGGTGGGGTCGAGTACCCTTGGACGGTAAATGATCCAGAATACTCCAGGTGGGGTCGAGTACCCTTGGACGGTAAATGATCCAGAATACTCCAGGTGGGGTCGAGTACCCTTGGACGGTAAATGATCCAGAATACTCCAGGTGGGGTCGAGTACCCTTGGACGGTAAATGATCCAGAATACTCCAGGTGGGGCCGAGTACCCTTGGACGGTAAATGATCTTAAATACTCCAGGATGGGTTGAGTGCCTTGGACGGTAAATGATCCTAAAACACTCGGTAGTATGAATCGAAGGTAGACTATAGCTTGTGAGCTAGGTAACCGGGAAAGGAGTGAGAAAAGTCAGGTAAGAACTTTATCTCTAAAAGACTCTTTAAGGTAAATGACCTACGGATTGA